TCAGTACTTAAACCTGAGCAAGCTCCAGAAATACCCCCGGGGCTCCACCCCTAGTGTTTCTAAACCAGCCACAGCTGCTGAGAGGGGAGGAGATTTGCAAATCTCCCCCAAGTAAAAGCTAAAGCCACTTGGTCTGGGGACTGCACTACCAGAACCAAATGTCCCAGGAATGAAGAGCAAGAGTTTGGGGTGAGACTCAGATGAATTCCAGCTCTTTCTGCCACTTGTGGTAGCTCCCTTGAAAAATTCACCCAGACACTCTGAAACTCAAGTTTCCAAAGTTTGAGTCCAGTTCAGTGAATTAAAGGAGAGGATGACCATAAAGCACTACCTTAGCAGAGGGCTTGACATATTCTGTTTTATTTTTCTTTCTTATTTGGTGATGGGAGGGCCTCAGAGGGCTTTTGCACATGCCAAACACACCTTGGTCAGATATATTTTAACGTAAGAGCTTAAAAAAGGTGAGCTACATTCTATACCAAAGTTTTCCTAATTACATGTTCCCCCCTATCCACAGTAGAAAGGCCAAAATTCAAAAGACAAACAAGATCAAAGATTGGCAAATGCTTGGAACTAATGGCACATTAACAACAGCTTCGTTCATAGCAGTTGAACACCGTCAACATTACAAACGCACACCAGAAAGCAAAAGGGGAACCCAAACTAGTCAATGTGTGTAATGGAATACTATTCAGCAATGAAAAGAATCAAAGGCCAGGCACCATTGGACACACTTGTAACCCCAGTTACTTTGGAGGCTGAGGCAGGAGGATTGCAAGTTTGAAGCCAACCCCGGGCAACTTAGCAAGACCTTGTCTCAAAATTTTTAAAAAAATTTAAATAGGACTGGAGATGTAGCTCAGTTGTAAAGCACCCCTGGGTTCAATTCCCAGCACTGCAAAAATAAAAATAAAGAATGATGCACAAAAATGTGAAATCTCCAAAATATTTTGTTGGGTTAAAAAAAAAGCCAGACAGAGCCAGACATTGTGGCACACACCTGCAATCCCAGAGGCTCAGGAGGCTGAGAAAGGAGGATAGAGACTCCAAAGCCAACCCTAAGCCTTAGCAACTTAGTGAGACCCTTCCTCTAAATGAAATATAAAAAAAGAGCTAGGGATGTGGCTTGGTAGTGAAGGGCCCCTGAGTTCAATCCCTGGTACTCCCAGTGCCCCCTCTCCTCAAAACAAAGCCAGACACAATAGAGTGCACACTACATGACTTCTCTTTTTATAAAGCTGAAGAACAGAGAAATCTACGATACAAGAAATCAAAGAGTCTTTAGTAGAAGGGATTAACTGGAAAGAAACAGGAGGGAAATTTCTTGGGTAATGGAAATGTTCTTTATCTTGATTGCAGCGGTGACAACATGAACATATACATTTGTCAAAACTCATCAAATGAGACACATAAGATCTGTGCAAACTTGATTTAAACATTACACAATATACACATGTAATGAAATGTCCTACAGTAACCATGAATATATGCAACTTTGATCTTTTGATGTATCCGTTAAAATGTATTTTTTATGTATTAATTAAAATTTTATTTAAAAAGACACTGGTACCGTGGTGGTGCATGCCTCCTGCTTGAAAGGATGAAACAGGAGGATCAGAAGTTCGAGGCCATCCTGGGCAATTTGGGGAGACCCCTGTCTCAAAATTAAAAAAACACAAAGGGCTAGGAGTATGGTTCAGAAGTAGGGTGTGGCTAGATTCCTGCCCAGGCATGCTCTACATGCAAAAAATTTTTAAAGATCATTTTTTTAAAAATTGTGGAGCCAGGTATAGTGGCACACCCCTGTAAATCCCAGCAGCTTGGGAGGCTGAGGCAGGAGGATAACGAGTTCAAAGCCAGCCTCAGCAACTTAGGGAGGCCCTAAGCAACTCAGGGAGACCCTGTCTCTAAATAAAATATAGAATAAAGGGCTGGGGATGGGGCTCAGTGGTTGAGTGCCTCTGGGTTCAATCCCTGGTACAAAAAAAAAAAATAGTTGTGCATCTTACTATAGTAAAATGATACCTTAATGCAAATTTAAAACAACATGTATATATATAAAACACATATATATATATATATATATATATATATATATATATATGTTTTTAAAGGTATTTTGTGACAAAGGACTGACACAAGATGAACAACTCCGGCCCAGAAGGTTCATTTAGTTTGATTCCCCCACAGCCCGGTCCTGCTTGGTAGAATACCATTTGCTATGGACTATTTTGGTCCATGCATCTTTCCAGAGAACTGCCATGAAACAGAATCTTCTCCCACAAGACAACCATGACATTTCCATACTGACAGTGCCCACAGTGACCCATGTCCCTGGGAGAGGCTAACTCACACAGAAGTAACATTTTGCTTTACTGTGTACCAAGAATGAGTCTCCCTCCTCTGACAAAGATGCTGTAAATGAGGCAGAACTCTGTCATGTAATTAAAATCACATTCTCACCATGAAGGAGGGAATGGAGGCTGGGTGGAATGGTTTCCAGGGCCACCTTTTACTGTGATGAAGTTCTCCAATAAGCTGGCTCTGCCAGGTGATTATTACAAGAAGTTGCTGTCACACTGTCGTGGGACCCAGGCTATTCAAGTTTCCCCCTCAGCATCTTTTTTCTATCAACACAAATAGGTTCAAAACCAAGCACAATGGTTCACCCCTGTCATCCCAGTGGCTGGGGAGGCTGAGGCAGGAGGATCGTGAGTTCAAAGCCAGCCCCAGCAACTTAGGGAGGCCCTAAGCAACTCAGTGAGACCCTGTCTCTAAATAAAATACAAAACAGGGCTGGGGATGGGGCTCAGTGGTTGAGTGCCCTGATTTCAATCCCTGGTACCCACCCACCCCCCTAAAAAAATAGGTTCAAAGGCATGCAAATAATTACCCCTGCTGTCCACATCCCTGTGCACTAAGAATAGTCTAGAGCGAAGGACATTAACACTCGGAAACACTGCAGAGGTGTCTGATCCTAAACCTTCTCAATAATCTCACCCAACTTTCCTAAATTCCATGAATGAGACAGCCCTGAGCCCATGTCTCCAATCCCTCTGATTACTTGTGGAAGGGTGTGGCTCACCCACAAGCATCTTGCACACTGCAAATGAATCCATTATACACCACCAGGCACCCCAATGGATGGGCAGGAAACCCAGCCCATTCATCCCCTGCCCTTACTCCAAAATGGCCCTGAACTGAGACCTGCAGCTGTTCCCATAAAAACGCCTGACACAGTATTTTCTCTAAAGTTCCATCAGGTCATCTTCATCCATTAACTGGCATTAAATTCATAATCCAGGCTCCCAGATAAATAAATAAATAAATAAATGCTCAAAATTAACTCAAACATGAAAATAATAGCTAATCTTTAAATTGAGCACTTACTATTTACCAGCACTGTCCTGGGCATGTTCCCCTCATTAGCTTATGTAATCATACCCGCAAGCTGGTTTACAGATAAGAACCTAAGAATATATCATGGAGCAAGGCAAGGGGGCCTCATGCAACAAGAGAGATGTGCCAATGAGTAAGGGAACATGGAGGAGGAAATATCTGCTCATCTTTGCAGAATGGTGGAGGACTTCCTGGAGGAGGTGTCCAGGTGGACATAAATGACACTTTTCCATTAAATTCAGCCCTCAAAGCTACCATAAAGGCCAGGCTTACCGGCACACCCCCACCCATCCCCTCCTCCTCCTCCTCATCTGGAAGAGGCCTGTTTCTAGAAAGGACCAGCTCAGCCCAGCCCTCCTTTCTTTTGACACATTCCTGCAGCTGCTGGCCTTCCTATGGAAACATATGGAAACTTTTCACCACATTCAGCTCCACCACCTCCTTTGGTGCTTTCATTGAGAACCTGCGTCACAGTGCTGGGCTGCACCCGGCTCACGTGGGTACAAGGGACAGTCCTTGCCTAGACCACACTGAGATGTAAGGGACCTACCACCACCACCACCAGCAAATGCATCTTTTGAAGCGGTCTTTCCTCCTGTACCGACTTCTGATAGAGGAATTTGCTTTCCTTACCTCCTCAAAATCAACACACACACACACACCCCAGCCCCTAAGTACCGTCCCCCAATCCCTCCCTCCTCCTCCGAGCTTAAAGCTCTGTTAACAAGGGAACAGCTTCTGATGGTTGTGTGACCTTGGACAAGTCGCTTAACTAATGTCAGTCCTGGTTTCCTTATTGGTAATAGGGGTTTTATTTAAAAAAAAAAAAAAGTGGATCTTAGAACCGCGAATCAGAATGAGATGTGCAAATCGAGCATTTTACAGAGAGTCTCGCACTAGTCAACTGTCAGTGAACAACTGTTATCATCATCATCAATCATGAGGACGGTGACGGTGGCCGGTAAACTTGGACTAGATTCGCGCCCAGAGCGAAACCCTCCTCCCCCTCCCCCCACACCGCGGCGGAGACACATGCGTCATCCAGCTGTGGGGTGAATGCAGGCTCTGCACCCGCGGATCAGGAATCTCCCGGAGGTCACAATAGCCCCCCTGGAGGGGATACAGGATGAAGCTAGTTTTCTGATTGAAGAGATCCAAGAAATCGTAGCCCCTCTCCTTCCAGACACCCAATCACCAGGTCTAGAAACTGATTAGTGGAGCAAGAATGGCCAAAAGCTACTCGCGCTGCATCACTCCCCCCCAAGAAGCCGGGGACGCGCCCCCGCCCCTGCCTCCGTTCCCCAAGTCCCCTTCAGGCTCAGTCGAAGCTGGCTGAGATAACAGGTTGGCAAATCGGGCCCGGGAAACATCTCCCCGCTCCCTTGCGCAAATGCAGCCCCTACCCAAACGCAGGTGGGCAAACACGACCCACAACCTGGCAAGAACTTTAGGTATTTCGCCACCACCGGGGCGCACGGCCTCAACTTCTCTCCGCTGCGCTCCGAGAAGGAAAGCGGGAAATCGGGATGGTGGGGGCACCCCACAAGCCGCCTCTCTTATCGGGGTGCGCCCCCCCCACACAAGGGCACGCCCCGTCTTACCTGGTCTGACGGCTTTGAAGGTGACGGCCTCCTTGCAACTGTCGATGACCCCCAGCACGTCATAGCGGGGCAGACCGGACACCCGGATCCCCTGCACCTCCAGAAGCAGCTCTCCTTCGCTCAGCTTCGGGCCCTCGCCACCGCCGGGGAGCCCCGCCACCTCGGTGGCCGCCACTGCTCCAACATATGGAAACTCCCCGTTCTCCGCGCCCCCCAGCACCGTCACCCCCAGCTCGCCCTGAGGTCCCCGCTTCACGGTGCATTCGTGAACCCTGCTAGTCCAGTGGTTCTTTTTCTGGATCACTTTCGACATGATGAGTTGAAACCCCTCCTCCTCCAAAAAAAAAAAAAAAAAAAGAGTAAAAATGAGACAGGTGCCCCCCACAGCACAAGCACCCAAGTCTCCTCGGGTTCATAGGAGAAACATCTCTCCCCCAAATTACGCCGCGGGAGAGCCCCTGGGCAGCCTCGCTCCCCTGCACACCCTCGCGCACTCAAGCCATCATCATAAAACAAACTTTCTGGGCTCCTCCGCGAGCCCTGCACAGGCGCCCGCGAGCTTTGTTTGCATTCCGGTGCCTCTCGGTCCACGTTCCGGCGCCCGATCGCGCTCTCCCGGGCCAGAGTCCACTCTGCGCCTCTCCGAGGATTTTTTTTTTTTTTTCCTTCCTCTCTTCCTTTCTTTCTTGCCTTTTTAGAAAATGCGGCGCCTCCTCTTTGCTTCCCGCCCGGCTCTCCACTCCTCGCTGGCGGGCTGTTCCAGAGGACGAGGGAAGCCCTTCCAGCCAGTTGCTGGGAGCCCTGGAGACGCGGCTGCGGGGCGGGGGTGGAGGGGACCGGAGGGAAGTGCCCGCGGCCCCTTTAAGCAGATACAAAGGCTCGACTTGTTTTGTTACAGTTCATTCTATTCCGCGCCGCGGAGCTCAGCGGCCCGGCGAGAGGAGACGCGCGCGCATGCGCCCCGCGGCCGCCTGCCGGCCCGCCGGCCCCGCCCCTCCACCCCGAAGCCAGAGATTCCTACGTGCTTCCCGTTGGGTCCTAAGACCGACCCTCCACGAGAAGCCTGCTTGGCCCCTTTTTCCGACACCCCTCTATTTGCTCCTCCTTTTCTGCCAAACCAATCGACTGGGCAAGTGGCTTTGGAGAAGAGGGAGGCACGTAGTGTTTGACCCCAACTCGTGGACCCAGGCGGTGTGTCTTTGGGGATAGGTGGGGGTTGGGGAGGCTCGCACACTCACCCTGGCGCACACTCACGCACACAAGCACGCCCTCGCGCCAGCCCCAAGCCTCCTGGACGCCCTCGGCCAGTGGCTGGCCACGCTGTCGGTCACCCAGCCCGGCTTGTCCACCGCCTCCGCCACATTTCCCTCTAAAACCTGGGACCGATCCGGAGGCGCGCTGCTCCCCGCCTCCCCTGCGCCCACGGGTTCAGGTCCTGGGCGCGGGGTCTGGGCGGGTGTCCTGCGACCCTGGGGAGGGGGACGGAGGGTTCCCCAGAGCCCCCCAACTGAGATCCCGGTGCGCTTCAAAGGCGCCCACACGCACAAACACCCTCATCCTTAAACTTTGGGGACAACTTTTTAGGACCTGGGCAAACTAAGAGGGGGAGAGAAGCCAAAGGCCAGTGTGGGCTTCGACCTAAGGTAGCCATCTAGCTTTTCCACTGTCCTCCCTGCAAAGACTGCGGCCGCCAGTTCTCTGCCCCGGGCTCAAGTTCCTGGTGGAGCCCGAAAGCCTTCGAACTTCGGGGACAGCGAATAAAGATCCCCACGGGTATGGGACGTGCGCCCGCGTCCTAGCGCCCGCAGGGGTGTGGGCGCGGCGGCCACCTCTCGGAATCCGCGGCCCCGGGGTCCCTACGGCGCCAGCGCCGCCCACAGGCCCGGTGGAGAGCGCCTGTGCCCGCCTGGCTGGGGACAGGAAGACCAACTCCACACCAAGTAGGCTGTCCCCTCCACCTGCGGAGAGTGGGACGCCACAGCGGTGTGATCAGGGTTGAAGGCTGGGCTCTGGCGTTCGTGACTTTGAGCAATTCCGTGACCTCTCAGAGCCTTCACTTCCCGAGGGCCATAAATGACAGAGTTCTTGGGAGAAGACTTGTAAAGTGAGTATTTACAAAGCGGCAAATAACTACAGAAACTCATGGTAGCAGTAATATTGGGGAAGAGGACGTTTTCGCGGTAGATGGTGACAATAATTCATCTCCTTCTTTCTAGAACTTAAAAAATATAACCAATCATTTATTTTTATTTTATTATTTTTATTTGATTGATTGATTGATTTGCACTCGGAATTGAATCCGAGGGCACTTACCACTGAGCCACATCCCCAGCCCTTTTTATTTCTTATTTTGAGACTGGGTCTCACGAAGTTGTGGAGGCTAGCCTTGAACTTGCGATCCTCCTTCCCCAGCCTCTGGAATAAATGGAATTAAAGGTATGAACCCTTCCTGGCCTTATCATCTGTTGTCTATATCCATCTGTTGGGCTCAACCCTGACTGGATCAAATGAGGAGGGCCGGCAAAGGTAAAATCCAGCAATTGGAAACTCAAGGATGGAACCTACCATCTAGACTTTTAAGTGGTGCTGCTATACAATATGGAGGACCACAGGTTCAGTATCTGGATTCCTGAGCATTTTGTGTCATAGGCCCATTTGGAGCCTGGGACGCATCTCTGTGGAGCACGCACTCCAATGAGGGCAGGGAACTTGGCAGAGTTTGGCTTACTGATGTAACTCACTGCTCACATGTTGCTCAAATGAATTCTACTACAAAAAAAAAAAAAAAATACATCGTGCATACCACATTTAGAGAGGAGTCTCAGATTCCTGTACAAATCACTAGTAAGCTGGACCTTTGTGTTTCCCAGTCTTACTATTCTATAGTCCAACCACATCCCATCATTTGCAAAAATCTCCTACCTACCTAAAATTGTGAATTCCACATGACTCTCGCCCCCACCTAGGCAGTCCTGGTGATGAACACAACCAGGTGGCTTGTGACTCCACCTGCTACAGCCACATCTTCCATCGACGACTCCTTGCAGCAGCTGAGGAGGGAACAGGATTTAGAACTTAGCATACTTCTAATTATATTTTTAAATTAATTTATTTCTTTTGCAGTGCAGGGGATCAAGCTCACGGCCTTGCACATACTAGGCAAGCCCCCTTCCACTGAGAAATACCCACAGCTTATGCTTCAAGTTTCAAATGTGGAAAAGAAACGTCTGAGGGGACAGAGGGCAGGATGGGAATGGGAAGAGAGACATATTATAATCAAGGAAAATTAGAGAAATAATTTGAACCTTCAAAACAGCCCATTTCCAGGTTCTAGAAGTTTAGGGTATTCCTTCTGACACTTCCTGTCTACTGTGTTTCACCTACACTCATTCCTGTGTCCCAGAGCAGAAGCAACTGCAAGACAATCATGTATGTGTCTTCTATCCAACCTTGAAATCTCATCTTGCCCGGGCACAGTGGCACACACTTGTAATCCCAGCAACTTTGGGCAACTGAGGCAGGAGGATCGAAGGTTCAAAGCCAGCCTCAGCACTTAGTGAGACCCTAAGCAACTCAGTGAGACCCTGTCTCTAAATAAAATAGAAAAAGAGGCTGGGGACGGGGCTCAGATGTTAAGTGCCCCTGAGCCCCATCCCCAGCCCTATTTTGTATTTTATTTACAGACAGGGTCTCACTGAGTTGCTTAGGGCCTCGCTTTTGCTGAGGCTGGCTTTGAACCTGCGATCCTCCCACCTCATCCTCCTGAGCTGCTGGGATTACATGTGTTATTGGATGTAGTTACCACAATCATGTGGTGTAAGCCTTACCAGGAAGAATCTTAATTTTACCACTGAGCAAAGGGAAGTTTGGAAACTCAAGAAACTTGCCCAAGAGCTTAACAGTAACAAAGCCAGAATATAAACCCAGGGGCACAACCCAAAGCCCAGGCTTAGAATGCTGCACCTTGAGAGGATGTAACCATGTAATAGAATTAGGAAACAGCATTTTTTGTGGGGGGGAGGGCCTGGAATCGGCCACATAGTGCATACACAATAATTTAGTCACCTTCCCATGTCTTCCTTTTAGTATGAAGGAAGATAGCATTCCACTCTGGAACACAATGTCCTGTTTCCCATGTTGGGACTCTGAGACTTTGAAGTTCAAATAATTTATGGACAAATAAAGAGGATTAATTTGCAAACATTTCTGCACAGTTGGAAGATCCAGGGCTGCAGCATAGGTACTGAGCTAAACAAAATTATATTGTCGCAAACATCAACAAGGAACTCTTTCATCTTTCTTTCTTTCTTCCTTGTTTTTGTTTTTTGGCAGTGCTAAAGATTGAAACCAGGGCCTGTACATGCTAGACAAGTGCTCTCCACCACTACAAGCTACTACCTTCTTTGCTCCCCCTCTTTTTTTTTTTTTTGGTACTGGAGATTGAATCCAGGGTTGCTCTACCACTGAGCTATATCCCTAGACCTTTGTATTTTGGGGGGTCTCACCATACTGAAGCTGGCCTCAAATGTGTGATCCTCCTGCCTCAGCCTCCTGAGTACTAGAATTATATTACAACGCCCAACTCATACCAGTTTCAAAAGGTGAAAATTATCTCCTGCCCTGGAACAGTAAGCCCTGTAGCAATCATTTGAGGAGACCTTATAAGCTCCTCCCTTATTACACAGTTGTTTGTGTTTGGTTTTAGTACTGGGATTGGACTCAGAGGCACTACTTCCCTGGCCCTTTTAATTTTTTATTTTGAGACAAGGTCTTGCTATGTTGCTTCATGCCTCACTAAATTACTGAGGCTGGCATTGAAATTGCCTTCCTCCTTCCTCAGACACCCCAAGTCTCCGGGATTTCGGGTGTGCACCACCATGCCCAACAACAATGAACTCCTAATAAACACAGTAAGCTTAGATGAGAATTCAGCTGTAACAATAAACTCTCATCAAATTGAGATCTTACTTTTCATAGAACTAGTTCTATTTGAAGGAAGGAGAAAATGCATGCATATGAAATGTTCTTTTCTTCAATTTCTCCCAAATTTTCTAGTTGTGATGAAAGAAAGTTATAATTGCAGTCTACAGTGGCATTTTTCTAAAAATGTGAGGATGGGAAATTCGTTGGTCAGCTATGGGAAAAGGAGGGACATATAAGTTGGTTATTTTTTAATTCCTGAAGAATGCAATCAAGAGGCATACATTAGCCAGGTGCAGTGGCGCATGCCAGTAATCCCAGTGGATGGGGAGGCTGAGGCAGGAGGATCAAAAGTTTAAAGCCAGTCTTGGCAACTTAGCAAGGCCCTAAGCA